AAACTAAGGGTCCAGAGAACAGTAAAGCAGGGCAAGGTGCTTGTCTTGTATGCAAATGACCCGGATCTGATCCCTGGCACTGTACACAGTCCCCTAAGCATGTCAGGAGTAAGCCCTGAGAACCTCCGGGTACGGCCCCAAAACCAAAAAATAAATAGTAATAAAATCGATTCATCAGCATCACTCTCAGGCATTAAATGAAGGGTAAGAAAATATGAATTCAAAGAATATCTGCCTCTCTGAAGTCCTAGCAACATTATTTATGACAGCCCAAATGGAGCCAACCTAAATCCCCATCAACACAGATGATCAGATACAGAAACTGGGACAGATCTACTGGATGGAATTTTCTGCAGCCAGTGAACAAGTTGTAATTGTGCCTTTGGGGACAAAATGGATAGAATTTGAGGTGATGTAAGTGAAATAAAAAAAAAGTGAAAGACAGTTACCAGATGTTTTTACTCCTAGTTGAACTATGAGTAACTGAAGGAAACAAACTATTAAGAAACAGAACTCCTAGACAAAGAGAAAACTATGGTGGTTACAAAAAGGAAAGTGGGGAGTGGCAATAGGAAAATGAGAAAGAGAGAGAGAGTGCCATAGAGTGGGGGGGTGGGGAGTGTGGAAGGAAACTGGGGACACTGGTGGTAGGAAATGTGCATTGGGGAAAGGATGGGTGCTGGAACAGTGTATAACTGAAACTCGACCATGAACAAGTTTTTAACTATGTAGCTGACAGTGATTCAATTAAAAAAATGTTAAGTGGGGAGTGGGAAGGCGGTAGGAAAAGGAAGAGGGTCTTCTTGGTGGTGGAACGGCCCTGAACACTGGTGGCAGGAGTGGAGACAATGAGACCTACGACCAGTGCAAAGCTAACACCCTGAAACGCCATCAGACTGAAAACCAGTGCTTCACCAATGAAAACGAAGCAGGGCTGTTTTTATTGTACAGCAGGCAGGATGCTTGCCTAGTAGGGAGCCAACTCGGATTTGACCCCTGCACTGCTATATGGTTCCCCAAGCCCCACCGAGAGGGATCCCAGAGCACAGAGCCCAGAGTCAGCAGCCCTGAATATCACCAGCTGTGGCCTAAGAAAACAAAAAAAACAAACAAATACAAAGCAAAAAAAGTAACATTTAAAAATGAGCAAGGGACCAGAAACTGTCTCTGAAGGTATATGGATGGCCAATAAACTCATATATTTTTTTGTTTGTTTTTTACTTAACCGGCACATTTTAACGCTTTATCAACACAACTTCAAAAGAGCACCAAAGATATCAATGTTCTTTTGGAAGAAGCAAATTCTTCGCTTCTGGGAAGAAGCTGACAGGCTAGAAGGGATCTCTGCCAACAAGGGTTAAGGACTCCAGCAGAGGCCCTTGCAGTGCCAGCTTACTTCCTTTTCCACAAAGGCCAGCAGAGAGGAACCGCAAAGCTAATGATGACGGCCCTGCTCTGAACTCTCAAAGCCTGATAACAGGCCCAAGGTGTTTTGCTCTCCGGCTCTCTTGAAAATGGCGACAGACTGACCTTCAGACAGATCTGCTTCATTCTGTGGGAGCTTCTGCCCCCGTGAGGTGGGTGTGGAGGGATCCTCACACCCCTGAGCACCAGAAATACTGTCCTCCCCGCCTCAGCCTCCACACCCCATGGCACGAGGCAGTCCACAACCTCAGTTCACCCAGACAGCACCCCAGAGCTTGCCTTGAAATCTGAGCACAGACGTGTCTGCCAGGACATGACAGATGATAACTGCAAGTTCCAACTGCTTGGGAAAAAGACATTTCTTTGGGGTTTGTATGACACGCTACCTGGGGGAGGGAGGGAATTATTCCAAACTGTTCCAACTTCTACCGTGAACAGATACCGTGACCTGGTGCCTAGCAGCGGCCATGCCACAGGAACAAGATGTGCTCCATGCTGCACAGGCACAGGTCAGAGGCCAGAGGAGAAGGCACCTGCCTTGCACACGGCAGACCCGAGTTCAATCCCAGCAGGGGTATGTATTCCCTTGAGCACTGCCAGGAGTGATCCCTGAGCACAGAGCCAGGAGTAAGCCTTGAGCACCACCAGATGCGGCTTATAAAATGAAAGAAACAAAATCACAATAATAATAATCACAAAAAATATAAATACAATTAAATTAATGTGATATAAAAATAATAAAAAACAAAATCACAAAAATAATTATCACAATAATAATGATTTGAGACCACAATAGTCCAGGCTGACTTTGTACCCAACACAGAGAGACCTCTGCACCCTGTTGAGAATCAGGTTAACGGTCCAATGAAGATTCAGACAGGGCCCATCTCAGATGAGCCAGGTGTGCCTTCTCTCCCGAGGGAAGATCACTCGGCTCTAAAATGAACTCTGGGGCTGGATCAATAGCACAATGGGTAGGGTATTTGCCTTGCATGTGGCCGACCCGGGTTCGATTCCCAGCATCCCATATGGTCCCCTGAGCACCGCCAGGAGTAATTCCTGAGTGCATGAGCCAGGAGTAACCCCTGTGCATCGCCAAGTGTGACCCAAAAAGCAAAAATAAATAAATAAATAAATAAATAACATGAACTCTGTGGGGCTGGCGAGATAGTCCAGTGGGTAAGGCACTTGTCTTGCACTCGACCAATCCAGGTTCAATTCCCCAGCATCCCATACAGTCCCCGAAGCACTGCAGTTAGTTCCTAAGTACAGAACCAGGAGTTAGCCCTGAGCATTGCCAGGTACGGCTCCAAAACCAAACAAAGAAAAACAAAAAATAATTTAAAATAAAATTAAAATGAACTCTGGCTTCTGCTCCAATGTGGATGGCATTTTATTAAGTCAGTGAGAGGAAATTCAGTTATGATTACATGATCTTACTCCTAAGTGGTATAAGACAAGGCAAGGGAATGGACGGTACCGAATGACAGCAAAACCCTGGACTGACTACAGGGCAGGTGGCCTACAAGTGACACAAGCCAGTGAATGGCGAAAGTCACAGGCACATTGATGGTAGAGAAGGTGCAGTAAGTTTGTACACCCAAGGGCTGGAGCGATAGATAGTACAACGGGCGGGCAGGGCATTTGCCTTGCACACAGCTGACCTGGGTTCAATTCCCAGCATCCAAGTGGTCCCATGAGTACCACCAGGAGTAATTCCTGAGTGCAAAGACAGGAGTAACCCCTGTGCATCACCAGGTGTGATCCCTAAAAAAGCAAAAAAAAAAAAAAAGTTTTACACCCAAGCATTAACGTCCCACTATGAGAACCATGTCACTGCAGCTGCAGGAACATCTGAGAAATGTAGCCTGCTGTTGAGGTTAATTCTGGAAGGCAATGCCCCACCAGCAGGGGAAGGAAACTTCTACAAGCAGCACCCAGACTGTCACAGGTCCACAGCTGCAGGACTTGAGCTGCCTGCCCACCCCCCCACCACCACTCGCGGGGGAATGGAGGGCACAACAGACTACAAGCCCATTTGGAGGTGGTAGTGGCCCTGAGCATGTGGGGGTCCCTGGGCAGGCTGCCCGGGGGCCTCATCCCACAGCTCAGCCTAGAAGCCTTTATACCAGGATCCCCTTCATGCACTTCTGCCCCACTAGAAGAAAATGCCAGAACAATCAGGGCCCCAGGCAGCAGACCCCACTTGGCTCCAGGCTTGTGCCCCAGTGAATAAGGCATCTCTCTCAGAGTCTCATTACAACAGCAATGAGGACACTTCGCTTGGCAAAGGTCAGGGGACATGTCGATGCTCTTTTCAGAGTCTTGGACAGAATAAGGCATTTTCTTCTAGGGTGTTGGGGGGAGGTTCCCTTCTGTCAGTGCCTTGTGAGTTAGAGCAGACAAAAGGCTGTGTGAGGCCTCACAGGCCTTATCTATTTTTATTTAAAAACAAAAACTCCCCAATTAAAAAAAAAGCCTAGGATCAACTGGCAGGAGGGGGGAAAAAAATCAAAAAATTAGGGACAATGGTTTTAAATGCACTCTTATTTTCTCAGCTTTCCCTGTAAGCCAATGCTGCGAGCAGAAAGGCATGCTTCCCAAAATACAATGTTTTTAATTTTATTATAACCTAAGGTACCTGGCTGAGATGCCTCTGGTTAGGTTTCCACTGAGCTGCCCTCTGAGCCCGGTGGTTCCGTGGAAGGAGAGTGGAGGCAAACAAGGAATTGGCCATTCCCATGTGCTGAAGTACTGCAGTCCAAGGAGTACTGCCAGTCTGCGTCCTGCCTTTGCTATTTGGGATTTCAAAGCTTCTGGAACTGCACAGCACAGAGATGACCAGGAGTTTTCAGAGACCAGAGGTGGGAGAGGGGAGGGAAGCCTTTCCCCCAGGAGAGTCAATGCTAAGTGGCATTTCTGCATTCAAATAGATAAAATTACCTTGTGGAAGAGAATGCAAAATAGACGGGAGATGGAGGAGGAACTTCCCAGCAGGGGGCAGGGGACGGGTAACAACCCAGACTCTGGGGCAGGCGCAGACTAGCCCCCTCCCTTTTAGGGCAACAGAAAAAATGTAGGCAGCCTGCTGGGGCCCTGGGCTGTCCTAATGCACAGCTTTCAACAACTTCCACCAATATTATAAATGGTACGCAGGCCAGGTTCTTCAAGCACCTGGATAATTAGCAGCTCAGCCACTTCCCTAGGGCAGAGGCCAGACGTGGGGTCTGGCAGAACTGGGGACTCAGAACTGGGGGCAGCGTCTGTGGGGTGTGAGCCGTGCACCATGACCAGGCCCTAAAATAGATGTTGGTACAGCGCGCGCGCGCGCGCGCGCGCACACACACACACACACACACACACACACACCCTGGTAGACTGGTCTACACACACACACACACACACACACTGGTAGACTGGTCTACACACACACACACACACACACACACACACACTGGTAGACTGGTCTACACACACACACACACACACACCCCACCCCCCAGGCCGATCTCTCCAACAGCACAAAGCCTTTCAGACACATTCAAAGGGACTCAATGTGCCATTTTTATTTATTTAACTGTCTGAAATTTCTATAACCTTGTTCTGGATGGAGCTGAGCAAGCCTTCAAACTATTTCATACTATTCTTGCAAGCTCTATAGGAATGCCTATGGTCACCCCCAGACCCAAGCACGCTGGAGACTTGCAGCTAAAGTCTGTTTTGTTTTGTTTGGAAGGGGGTGGCGGGCACACCTAGCAGTACCCAGGGCTAACTCCCGGCTCTGTGCTCAAGGATCACTCCTGGGAGGACGCAGGGGACCATATGAGATTTGGGGGATCAAACCTGGGTCAGCCACGTGCAAGGCAAACGACTTACCCGATGTACTATTGCTCCAGCCCCTCCAAAGTGCTATTTTTAAAATGTCAAGTACAACCTGTAAGTAAAACATTTTAAAAGCAACAAAAAGGCAAATAGATCTTAGGTGCACCGAAGCTTCAAGTTATACAAACACGACCCAGGGCTTATAACCAGCACCTAAGTCAAGGAGGATCATCTTCTGAGCTCTCATAGAAATCACACGATAATTTGTGAGCCTACGAAACGGCCTCTGCACGTCCGGCCTTCCAGGAACGCACATTGCAGGAAGCTAAGGGATGATTTATAGTTGCAACAAGACAGTGCAAAAATGGATACCAGTCACAGGCGCATATAGGACACAAACTGTCTGCAAATCAGAGGCGAGGGGAGGTAGAAGAGCACGAGCTCAATGTCAGCTTTCATTTCTGCTTATGTGAACGCCGGACTCCTGCGTGCTGAGAATTCGTTTCTCCGTAAAAGCTTTGTGGATCTGATTTACATTCCACACCGACCCTCACTGAAGGAATTCTAGTCAAAGCATCAGCTGGTCAGCTCCTAAACACTGATGAGCCCAGCTGCAGCCAGCACCTCAGCCCTTACGGGGAGTGAGGCGACACTATGATGAGGTGCAGCCAGCCCCTGAGTGCTTACAGGGAGTGTGTGTGTGTGTGTGTGTGTGTGTGTGTGTGTGTCAAGTGGCAAAGCACATGCCACGCATGTTCGATCCCTGTAACACATGCTCCTCATCACCCCAAGCAGTGCTGAGTGTCCAGTGCATTTGCCACGCCTTGTCAGTGCAGGGGCATTAGAAGTTAGGCACACAGCTCTGTCCTCCTGACACCGACTCAGAGCACGCTATGTGACCAGCCTCAAACCCCTGGGTCCCAGGGGCAGGAATCACACAGGGACAGAACTCAGGGTTCAACCCTACTTCCTTCCTGGCTGGGTTGCCCTGAGCAAAGGAGTCAATTTGGCCTCTCTTGAAAATGCGGGTAGTACAACCCACTTCAGAGTATTCCGCCAAGAGGCTCCAAACTTCTGGTTTTCAGTACGGGTTCGGCTTGGCTTTTGGGAAGACAGTTTGAGGGAGGCGGTTCCACTCCCCAATCACAGAGCAGGAAGCAGCTGAGCTCTAGAGAAAGGCAGAAGGATAGGGAGAGAGAAGCAGTGTCTGCCACCACTAAAAATCTGACAGTCTCCACCAGTCTGGGAGTCCTGTCATCAGCTAACGATCGTGGAAACAAAACAAGCAGGAAGAACCAACTATTTCATTCTGGCCGTAAGACAAATTTTGGTACTACACACAGAACACCAGTATTTACTACAAAGGATTAACTAGGGGCTGGAGCAACAGCAGAGCAGGGGGGTACGGCATTTGCCTTGCACGTAGCCAACCCAGGTTCGATCCCTGGCACCTCCTATGGTTCCCCCAGCACTGCAAGGAGTGATTCCTGAGTGCAAAGCCAGGAATCAGCCCTGAGCCCCACCGGGTATGGCTCAAAAACCAAAAATAAAATAAAATGATCCCCTAGTAGATTCTTATCTCTATCCTTCCATCAAGTAACCCACATCCATTCTACTCTGGTGAATAAAGCTTTAGGTCTTTAATGAAACAAAACTCTAGCTTGGAGGTAAGAACTCTAAACTATGGTACCATGACCAGTTTAAAAATTAACAAGCCTGCACTTTTTATTCAAATGGTTTTATTGGGGTCTGTCACTGATTCACTGTAACAATCATAAACTGTTTTAAGTCACAAAATATCTCAGTTTTCTGTCCTATGGGCCTGACCAGATTGGAATTGCCTGATTGGAGGTTTTCTTCTGATCACTGAGAACTCAGTTCTTTCATGGTTGGGAGAGCAGACAGCTTAGCTAAACAATGACTAAGTGCACTCCTAACTGGGAGACTAAGTGGCAACTCAGGAGGCCACAAGCGGGGACCAAAGAGTCAGTACTTAAAGGCACTTGGCCTTGTTTGTGTTCATCCTCATCCTCATCCTGTTCCCCCAACCCCATCCCACATCACACCTAATCCCCTGAGAACTATCAAGGGTCACACCTGAGCACAGAGACAGAAATATCCCCTGAGCACCACCAAATATGGCCCAAAACAAAAACATCACAAGTAATGACCCTCAATGACCCATTTCTAGGGCTCGAGGCATGCATTCTGAAAGGCCAGAGAAATATAAATGTACATTTTTTTCTTTAAATTTTGAAAATACTACCCAGAAGAAATTCCCAACCCCCTCCACACATGTACATGAACATATGGATATTCATGAGAACATCCAGGATCACATCCTTTTCCTAGGGTCCAAAATGCACCCAAGAGCTAAAGGAAAGGAAAAGGGCAACACAGACATTCAGAACCTACCAAGTGAAGCCATCTCACCATCACCACCACCCCACCCCCCTGGGAGTAGTTCCAAGTTGAGACCTCCCAGTAAGAGGCCAGCCCCTTGCCTTGACTGGGAAGCTTTTCCATCAATCATAAGACAAGCACAGAGACATGGGACTTACCCAACAGAGATACAGACCACAAGCAGCATGAGCAACGCACCACACAGGGATGAGGGCTGAGATGCAGAGACAAGAAAGCAGAGCACAAGCTTAATAACTACTCCCTCTCCTTGAAGTCTGGAGTCCTCCCTCTGCTGGGAACAGAGGCCTACAGGCCCAAGAGCCCCTTCCAACCTGGCCCTTCCCGAACACTGTAAATTATACCAACTGTGAGCATAAGAAAATCTGTTGCATACTGAGATTATCCTTTCCCAGCAAACTTATGTCACTGGAGGAGGTTCATCAAGGGGCTTTATTCATAAGGCGGGAGGGTATGGGGCAGAACTACAAGAACTCAGCACTGGGCTGGAGCGATAGCACAGCAGGCAGGGTGTTTGCCTTGCACGAGGCGGACCCGGATTCGATTCCCAGCAACCCATATGGTCCCCTGAGGACCGCCAGGAGTAATTCCTGAGTGCAGGAGCCAGGAGTAACCTCAGTGCATCACTGGGTGTGACCCAAAAGGCAAAAAACAAAAACAAAACAAAAGAACTCAGCATTTGGCTGTGCAGCTAAGCTTCACTGTGGGCTGGTGGCTGCAGACACAGAACCTCCCTCCACTAGCCCAAAGGAAAGCCACTCTAATCTGCTCGCATCTACATGATGATAAGCAGGAAGTAGCGCACATCTTAATTTGTGTTGCCAATTAGAAGTCTTAAAAAAAAAACCTACCTGATCTTCTTACATACACTAATTTGTCCTAATTGGTGCATAATGGGTTGGATATAATTTGTTGATTATCCCTAAGGTAAATAGTTTAACATTTCACAGGTACCAAAAAATTAGCCTCATGATTTGACAATGAAAGGCTGGCTTTCAAATGCACCTTCTGGAACATTAATTTTAAATTCCCTGAGCAGGAAAGGGCAGAGGACTGCAGGGTTCTGAGACAAAATCCCAGACACAGTCAGGGGATATTCACAGGAGGCTCAGAGCTCTTTCCCCAAAATGCTGAAGACCAGGAAAAAAAAAACCCCTCCCTAGAAGCACAAGACACAAATTATAAGGCAGTGGCCAGCAGCATATACATACAAAGCCCTAACCCTTTGCAATCCTTCTGAACCCTAAGTTCCTTCTTGATGAGGAACCTTTCTTCCTCCTTCATCAGGGCACTGACCAATAAATAAACCCTGGCATCTTCCTTCAAGGTCCGCTTTCAGTAGTACTCCTTCCAGAAAGTGCAGAGGGCAAAAGCGACTCTGTCGTGAAGGATCAGGTACCAGAGCCCCCTCCCTTGGCCTTTGCCAACGCGCGGGGGCGGGTTCCCCCTTCTCCCAGGAAAGCAGGAGCACTAGGTTAACACTGGGAGCAGCCACGCAGCCCGCACCCACCGCATCTCTCTAGGCTCACACAACGGCTGGCTGTTTCCTTTCCTAACTGTTTATTTTTAGCCTCAGGTAAAAAGCTTTCACTGCTCACCGCGGAACACAACACATTCATTACTCGAGAGTCGAGAAAAGGCTCTTTCCGGAAGTTTAAAATTTAAAAAGTGATCTAAAGCCTCGCTCACTAGGTGATTCCCACACAGCCCACTGAGACTCGTAAGGGAAGTTCCTCCCAGAGTGTAAGGAGCTTTTTTGATCGCCAAGTTAAGGCCAATTTGCGTTAAGTTGGGATCCTGCTGGCAGACGCTTGGTGGGTCTCGGGGCTTTTTGTTTAACTTGATCTAAACGACGCTGCAATTTCCAAAAGACTTGAAAACGGGTCTAAAAAGTTCCATCATAATACTGGAGCCATTTCTTTAAAACAAACATCCAAGCCTGAACTATTCCCAGTCGCAGTTATGTTCTTAGGGGGAGGAAATATTAGTTGCCTTCAACTTCCTTATGTCTGGGCCAACTCCCGGTAAGGAGGAGGACGCGCGCACACCCTCCCCCCAAAACCCTTCCTTGTCCCCCTCCCCCTCCCATGCGCTGCGCCCCCGCCCCCTCTGCTCCCTCGTGTCCCTAGAAATACTCGCAACTCCCCGGGGCCCGGCCGGCACCTCCAAGGACCCCCACCCCGAGTCGGAGTCGGGGACGCCGCGGGGACCCCCGGCGCGCACACCTGCCCGGCGCGCCCCACGGTCATGCCGCGGCCAAGGGTGGCCACGTTGGAGCGACCCGGCGCGGCGGGCGGAAGGGCCGCGGGGGCGCGGGGACTGCGGCGGTCAGCCCGACCCTCACCTGGGAGCGAGTCGCCACCTCCATCCTGCCCGTGGGGTTCCCGCGCCGACCACGCGGCCACGGGGAGCGCGGCACGCCTCGGGCCCGGCGCACGGAGAACGGCCCGCGGCCGCGCAGCCCGCGCGCTCCGCCCGGAGCTCCCGCGGCCCGGGGAGGGGCGCACTCGGCGGCCGGGACGGGGGGAGCGCGGCGCGCCGGGACCCGGGCGGCGCGGGCCCGACTCGGGCACCCGTGCCCGCCGCGCCGCACCGCGCGCCCCGGGACTCGGCTTGGCGGACGGCGCCGTACGGAGGCGGTCGGAGAGCGCGGCCCGCGGCGGTGGCCGGAGTCGGGGCGCCGGGCTCCCCCCCTGCAGCGGAGGGAGGGAGTGGAGCCGTCCGGCCCGGGTTTCGCGCGGGAGAAATGAGAAGGGGCAGTCCCGGCGCAGCCTCCAGCTGGCACGCCGGGGTTTGCGAAAGCGCCGGATGTTTGCGAGGGGGTGGGGGGTTGGGGGGGTCCAGGTTGTGCCCTGGAGCGAGAGCCTCTGCGGCTGCGACAGGAACCCCAGCCAGGAAAGCTGGAGCCCGACTTCGCTTTTGTTTCCTTGCCCTAAAAAGGGCGGGGCTCTGCCCCTCCCAAAAACCTGAGCTGCAAAATTCACTTTGCAAAACAGTCAACCCACGTGCAACGCAAGTTTCCTGACCGCGGTCCGAGTCCCCTGTACTTCAGAGGACCACTACCCAACAGAGAGATTGTGCAGGCCCGAGATACCGATTAACTTATTAGATGCTGCCTGAGCACCTACTATATGGAAGCACATGCATTAGACCTGAGAACCCAGGTCGAACAACAGAAAATACTAGGTCTCTGCTCTGTTGGAGCTTATGGTCCGAGAAATGAGTGTAGTACGGGGGGGGGGGGGGGGGCGGTCAGAGCTATAGTACAGCCTGTAGGGCCTTTGTTTACCTTGCAGGGGTTGACAGTGCTTCGATCACTGTAACCTTACAGGGTCCCCCAGCACAGCCAGAAGTATGACCCAAGAAATGCGCGGAGTGCACACCCCCCCAAAAAAAGTTAATAATGGTGCAAGTGTCATAATGATTATTTTTACTTAATAACTAGTACCACTGGGCTGGAGCTATAGCACAGCGGGTAGGGCGTTTGTCTTGCACACGGCCAACCCAGGTTCGATTCCCAGCATCCCATATGGTCCCCTGAGCACCACCAGGGGTGGTTCCTGAGCGCAGAACCAAGAGTAACCCCTGTGCATTGCCGGGTATGACCCAAAAGGCTAAATAAATAAATAAGTAAACTAGTACCATTGGGACAGGAAGATAGCACAACGAGTAGGGTGCTTGTCCTGCATGCATTCAGCACAGATTCAGTCCCCAGCACCCCGTATACCTGAATATCACCAAAAGTGAGCCCTGATCATCCCCCAAGCCAAAAATAAACGACTACCACTAATATAATACCTGCAACTAATGCTGGTCCAATCATAAAGGTAAAGGTAAAGGCCCTCCCGTTGATCGTCGATTTGCTCGAGCGGGCCCAGTAACGTCTCCATTGGAGACTTTGTTGTTACTGTGTCTGGCATATCGAATACTCTCGGTAACTTGCCAGGCTCTCCGAGAGGGGCGGAGGAATCGAACTTGGGTCGGCCATGTTGGCCGCGTGTAAGGCGAACGCCCTACCCGCTGTGCTATCGCTCCAGCCCTGGTCCAATCATAATGCTGGAAATAAAGGTCAATGTGGTAAGTAGTACCATAAGAGTATAAAATTAAGAGCACTTCATTTGCAGGAGGTCAGGGTAAAGATGCAGAGATTGAAGAGTGAAGAGGCAAGTGAATGCAAATTGTGGAGGGCTTGAAGTAAACATTGGAGAAGGTAACAGTGGAAGTTGTCCTGAAATGTGGAACAGGTTTGTGAAATGTGAAAGGTGTTCAAAGTCTGTTTAACACTGTGGACAAAAGTTCCTGGAACTCCTGTACAGATGAGCACTCATAGAGACCCTTTTAGTTACTCAGTACCAGAAACTTATCTTTTTCATTTACAAATGTATGAGGTTGCCCAAACATACATTCGGGGCTCGAGCGATAGTGCAGTGGGTAGGGCGCTGGTCTTGCATGCAGTGGACCCAGGTTTGATCCCTAGATTTCATATGGTCACCCAAGCACCTCCCAGAGTAATTTCAGAGTGCAGGAGTAACTCCTGTGCATCATCAGGTGTGGCTTCACACACACACACACACACACACACATATGCATTCAAGTTTGAGAAGGTAACACATAGGACCATCTGCCTCCCGCCTACCCACCCTTCTTGGTTCTGCTCACCCCCAGCCGGATTCCAGGGATGAAAGACTCATAAAACATTGGATGAATTGTATAAGTGATATTTTCTTCTTATTGAGTAATATACACTACTGACGACCTTCACTCTTGTTTTTCTTACACTCCAGTTTTCCTCACATACAGCACCTCCATGGATCCCCCTAACATTCTTTTAGATTCTTATTTTCCACATTTTTTAAAGGAAGCAATCTGGACATACACTCAGAAAGATCCTTGCCACACTCCTAATATGTGTCAGTTAGAAATAACCAAACTAGAAATAATTTCTTATGCTTCCCGATTCAACGCTTTCTCCATTACTCTTTTTCGCTTTGTCTGCCAGGAAGCTCAGTGAAATGTATTCAATCAGCACTTTTTTTGATATAATCGCTTTCTCATGAACGAATGACCTTATGTTCATATAATTTCTTTCACTATGTACAGGTTGCCTCAAGTCCATTTTGGAGAAGTATAAATTTTCAATAGGTCAGGCCCAGATCAGATCTCAAAGAAATAGAGTGCAGGCTTGGCAGAGGATCCCAGGTTCAATCATTGGCACCAAAACGGCTTCCTTAGTACACTTGAGTATAACCATGGTGCTCTTCACCACTGCTAAAGCCCCCTCCCAAAAAACACAAATAAAAAATAAATTTGCAGTAGACAAGATTTTGCAAAGCATTTGAAGTATTCTAGCGTTTACATAGAAATCTATCTGAAAGCTACAGAGACTTCCTCCTTTAGAAAGCTATCATAACTCAGTTTTTTTCTGTTTGGGTCACACCCAGTGATGCATAGGGACTACTCCTGGCTCATGCACTCAGGAATTACTCCTGGCGGTGCTCAGGGGACCATATGGGATGCTGGGAATCGAACCCGGGTCAGCCAGGTGCAAGGCAAGCACCCTACCCGCTGTTCTATCACTCCAGCCCCACCCAGCTCATTTTATTTTTTTATTTATTTATTTTTTTTTTTAATTTATTGAATCACTGTGGGAAAGGTTACAAAGCTTTCAGGTTTATGTCTCAGTAATGCAAATATCAAACACATTTCCCTTTACCAATACTTATTTTTTACCATGAAGAACCCCAATAAAACCCCACCCCCCACCCCTCCCCGTCCCTGTGAGGCAGATGAATTCTAGTTAACACTCTATCTGCTTTGATTAGATTCATTGTTTCAATAAAAGATTCACCACTATTATTTAGAGTTTACCCCCCCCCCCCAAATCAGACATGCTGAAAAAGCATTGTGAAGTGATTTGCTTTCTACAGCTGGGTTAAAGAATTAAATGTTGGTTTTGGATTTCTGCTATTTTACCTATTGACCCTGGAAGTATTTCTACTGAAAGTCAGATAGTTAAGAAACTGGTTTCTGTGTTCTGGAGTCGTGGCCGTGCTAGAGAGCCGCTCGCGGGGGGCAACTGGTGGCCTCGGTAGGGCGTGAAGGGCGGAGCGAAACGCCCCCCTTCCCATGAGGTTTTAGTCGCCCCCACACTCCCGGCTCATACCTGCTGTCCACAAGGCTCCCATGTGGCCGCCATCTTTCTTTCCAGAGAGGAGAGGGCGAATGGGGCAACACCCTTTCCCCTCCGGCAGACTTGATGGCCTGGGTCAACGCATAGTCCGTTCACTTTTCTGCTCCAAGCTGCTGGGTTCTGCATTAAGTCCTTGTGCTTCTGGGGCCATGGCCGTGCTGGAGAGCCGCTCGCGGGGGGCGACTGGTGACCTCGGTAAGGCGTGAAGGACGGACCGGAACGCCCCCCGACCCATGAGGTTTTAGTCACCCCCACACTCCCGGCTCATACCTGCTGTCCACAAGGCTCCCATGTGGCCGCCATCTTTCTTTCCAGAGAGGAGAGGGCGAATGGGGCAACACCCTTTCCCCTCCGGCAGACTTGATGGCCTGGGTCAACGCATAGTCCGTTCACTTTTCTGCTCCAAGCTGCTGGGTTCTGCATTAAGTCCTTGTGCTTCTGGGGCCGTGGCTGTGCTGGAGAGCCGCTCGTGGGGGGTGACTGGTGACCTCGGTAGGGCGTGAAGGACGGACCGGAACGCCCCCCTTCCCATGAGGTTTTAGTCGCCCCCACACCCCCGGCTCATACCTGCTGTCCACAAGGCTCCCATGCGGCCGCCATCCTTCTTTCCAGAGAAGAGAGGGCGAATGGGGCAACACCCTTTCCCCTCCGGCAGACTTGATGGCCTGGGTCAACGCATAGTCCGTTCACTTTTCTGCTCCAAGCTGCTGGGTTCTGCATTAAGTCCTTGTGCTTCTGGTGCCGTGGCTGTGCTGGAGAGCCGCTCGTGGGGGGCAACTGGTGACCTCGGTAGGGCGTGAAGGACGGACCGGAACGCCCCCCTTCCCATGAGGTTTTAGTCGCCCCCACACTCCCGGCTCATACCTGCTGTCCACAAGGCTCCCATGTGGCCGCCATCTTTCTTTCCAGAGAGGAGGGGGCGAATGGGGCAACACCCTTTCCCCTCCGGCAGACTTGATGGCCTGGGTCAACGCATAGTCCGTTCACTTTTCTGCTCCAAGCTGCTGGGTTCTGCATTAAGTCCTTGTGCTTCTGGGGCCGTGGCTGTGCTGGAGAGCCGCTCGTGGGGGGTGACTGGTGACCTCGGTAGGGCGTGAAGGACGGACCGGAACGCCCCCCTTCCCATGAGGTTTTAGTCGCCCCCACACCCCCGGCTCATACCTGCTGTCCACAAGGCTCCCATGCGGCCGCCATCCTTCTTTCCAGAGAAGAGAGGGCGAATGGGGCAACACCCTTTCCCCTCCGGCAGACTTGATGGCCTGGGTCAACGCATAGTCCGTTCACTTTTCTGCTCCAAGCTGCT